AAACCAGGACTAAATGATTATGCTGCAAAATTTGCATCAATCTGTTGAATTAAATTAGCAAATCAAGTTCCATTCGTATTAATTTAGTCAGTGGGCATAAACATGTAAAATACAGCAATACAATAAAATGAAATTAAACAGTAAATTATAGGTATATTCATGAAATTGAATTAAAGAAAAGTCATCTTTACAATTGAGAAAAAATACATATGCCTATAAAAATAGTTTATAACATATTATACAAATAGTATAACTGACTCAAAATTTTCTTATACATATATGGGATCTTTGCTAGCAAAAATGACCCTACGAGCCATTGTTACACAAGATTTGTATTAAGAAAAACATAATAAACCTATTTTTAGAAAAAAAAATCCTAGGAAAGATCCCATGTGTTATACTATTTTTATACACATATGTATACTAGACGTTTTCCTTTTTTGTTAGCATACGCAGCACACGTTTACATCCCATATTGATATTCGTATTATCTCATACTGATCTGCTCACCCAGACCGATCTGCTGTAATCTCGGTACGGTAGCAACTTTCCACATGTTTTCTAGCATACGTATGTGGATAATCTATTCTATATTAACCAATAGTATGGAAAATATCAATAGTTTCTAACGCCAAATGGTTCTTTTTTATGGTTTGAGTACAAATATAAGTTTTTTTTCGATTGGTTGTTATAGGTAAAACCTTCTTTAATAATTTTTCTTGCTAGCAAATTGAATACCTTAATTTATATTACCGTACAGTACTACTTTACTTTATACACATATTTTAATACTCTTAAGTAATATAAGGTATACACCACTAAACATGCCAAATTGTATTAAAGTTGCTATTGACCAAAAGTTTGTTACAGTTTTCAAATATGATTCTTTTCGGGATTTAAAAATTATTGGTAGAGGTGGGTTTGGGACTGTATATAGTGCTTATTCAAAAAATGCTAAAAAATATGTAGCGTTAAAGAGTTTATATTGCGATGATAATGATAGTTCGTCAAATGGACCTATGCATGAAGTATTTATATTTTATTTTTCGTTTATTTACGTCTTTATTTATATCTTTATTTACATCTTTACTGGCTTTATTATACTTAAGATTAAAAACATTACTAGAGTTTCACATGATAATATAATAAAACTCTTTGGAGTCACGCAAGGTACACTAAATTCATATAATGTAAGAATGAATATTATTAGTCAACTAATAATCTCGAGCAAATTAGATCCGAAAACCGAAACATTCTATATGGTACTTCAACTTGTTAATAACGGCGATCTACGTCGCTATTTAGAGAAGCACTTCTCAAAATTAAATTGGAAAACTAAAATCCG